TTTTTACATCATTTTTCACATTTTTTTTTTCATCTCAATTGTAATCCCCATGGGTTTCCCATCACCAAATCACCCCTGTGCCAAACACTGTTTTTTTAAAAGGCTATCTTTTCTACATTTATGGCTGTAGCTCCTTTGTTGAAGATTAACTGTCAGTATTTATATGGATTTATTTATGGACTTTCAATTCTATGTCATTGCTCAGTGTTTCTGTTTTTGTTCCAGACCATACTATTGCTGTGCAGTGCAGTTTGAAGTCAGGAAGTGTGTTGCCTCTGTTTTTCTTTGCTCTCAAAATTGTTTGAGCTCTTTGGCGCCTTGTGTAATTCCATCTAATAAATCTAAAATTGCTTTTTTTATTTCCTTATAAAAAGTCATTGACTTTTTGATTGGTATTGAATTAAATCTATAAATTGCTCTAGGTAATGTGGTGAATTTTAATGATAATTCTTCCAACTCATGAGCACAGGCTATCTTTCTGTTTCTTTGTTGTTTTTTCTTTAACAGAGTTTTAATAGTTTTCAGTAGTTTCTTGATCTCCTTAGCCTTTTGTTAAGTTATTTCATTGTAAATAGAACTGTATTCCTTTTTTTTTTTTAAGATTTATTTATTTATGCACACAAGAACTGGGCTACAGGCCAGCGGTATGTGTGTGTGGGGGGGTGTGGGGTGGGATGGAGGGGAGTGTTGGTGAGAGGATTCACCAGAGACAGAGTAGGTAACAGAACAAGTGGATTAACTGAAATACACTGCTGAGGAGTGTGTTAGTGGGACAGGAAAGGTCTGCCACACCATGTGGGTCAGCTCCTTGGCTGGGGATCAAACTCAGTGGCTGTGGATAGCTTCTTAGTGCTGGGATTTAACCCCTTGTGCCATTGTAGAAGGCCTGGAACTGTGTTCCTTATTACCTTTTCTTCTGATACATTATTCATGTATAGAAATGCCACTGATTTTTGTATTTTAATATTCTGTTCTGCTACTTTATTATTTCTAGAAGTTATTTTTTATAGAATAACATCTCTATGTATATTTACATGTCCTCTGTGACTAGTGATAGTTTGACTTAATGTTTTCCAATTTGGATTTTTTTAAGTGTCTTTTAATTATTTCAGATAGGTCGTCTAAAATTATGTTGAGTAATAGTAGCGATGGTGGACATCTCTGTCATGTTCCTGATCTTAATGGGGAGGCTTTCAGCATTTCACCATTGAGTGTGAAGACTGTAGGTCTTAGACATCTTTTCTAATATTTAGAGAGATTCCATTAAGGCCCATTTTAAATAATTTATACTATTAATGGATATTTGATCTTGTCATATGCTTTTTCAGAATCTACAGAAATCATCATGTAGTTTTGTCTTCCTTTTTGTTGATCTGATGGGTGACATGATTGTTTTGTGTATATTGAATCAGCTTTGTATCCCTGGGAAGAAGCCTTTTTGATAATAGTAGATCATTCTCTTGCTATGGTGCTATATTCAGTTTGGTAGAACATCTGCATCTATGTTCAGCAGATATTGGTTTATAATTTTATTTTTTTGTAATGTCTTCGATTGTTGGCCAAATAGAATATGTTGGGGAGTCTTTCTCCCTCTTAGATTTTTTTTTTTAAGAGTTTTAGCATGATCGGTATTAGACCTTTGAAGTTTTGGTGGGATTCATTGAAGAAACCATCTAACTCTGGAATTTTGCTCTTGGGATGACTTTTTAGTACTCTTTCAATTTCAATACTTATGTTTTATCCCTTTTGGAGGTTGTATCAATCTAAATGTTTGTTTCTTCAATTTGTCCATTGTTCAGTTTGTTTGCATAGAGACTTTGTCTTTCATTTCTGATTTTATTAATCAGAATAATTTTCTCTATTCTTTTCTTTGTATTTGTAGCTAATGGTTTGTTAGTTTTGTATTTTGTTCAAAGAAACAATGCTTGGCTTCACTGATGTTTTGAACTGTCTTTTTGCTTTCTGTTTCATTCATTTCTGCTCTAGTTTTGATTATTTCTTCCCTTCTATTGGTTTTGGGTTCTTTTTTCTTCAACTGCAAAATTAGATTGTTGAATTGAGGTATTTCTTGTGTATTTTGTTTGCTTTGTTTTTAATGTGGGCCTGATTACTACAAAATGCCCATTGTAATACTGCTCTTAAATACAGCATAGGATCTGGTAGCCTTTCTTTCTATTTTTATTAGTTCTAGATATTTTTTGATCTCCTGTTTTCTTCATTGACCCAAGTGTTGCTCAGAAGCTTTCTGTTTAGTTTCCACATATTTTGGTTTGTTCCAGGATTTCCTTTTTATAGTTGATTTCTAGCTTTATAGCATTGTGGTCTATGAAGATGCTTGATATAATTTCTATTTTCATACATTTACTGAGATTAGTTTTATGCCGTAGTGTGTGGTTTATTCTTGAGAATGTTCCATATGCACTGGAGAAGAAAATCTATTCATTACTTTTAGGCTGGAAAGCTATATAAATGGTCAGGAAATCCATCTCTTCTAACATTTCATTTAAGGCCTTTATTTCTTTGTTAATTTTCTGTCTTGATGAACTATTACTTGGTGTGAGTGGTATGGTTAAGTCTCCAACAATGATTGTGTTTTTTGTTGATATGTTGTTTTAGACCTGCTAGTAGTTCCTTATATAACAAGGTGTTTCTATATTTGGAGCATAAATATTAGTTATATCTTCCTGGTGACCTGGTGAGTTATTTCCTTGGTGATTGTATAGTGTCCACCTTGGCCCCTGCTTACCTTTTTAGTTGAAAGTCTGGCTTATCAGATATGAGACTAACAGTTCCTGATACACTTTTTGAGGTTTTCATATGTATGGCCTTATTCCAGCATATTATTTGTAGTTTATTTTTAAATGTGTCTTGTTAAGTACTGGTGGGAGAAATGAGAATATTCTCATTTACATTGTTAGCTTATGTCTTTTTATTGCTGGATTCAGA